CGCCTACCAGTCGGAAGTCACTAAGGTTAATGTGGAGTCGGTGTGTACTTTTGCTAAGACGATGTCGGACTCCGTAGTGTTCTCTGGACCCCTCCCACATCAGACCAGTGATGACATGTATGTCTTGTCATGTATGTAGCCACATGTCATCACTCAACCGCTGGCTGTCGAGGTGGTGTCCAGCAAACGATGTGGGCTTCATAGATAACTGGCAGTCTTTTTGGGGAAATCCTGGTCTGTTAGCTAGAGACGGCATCCATCCCACTTTGGACGGTGCAGCTCTATTATCTAGAAACATAGCAGAGGTTATTAGTCCAAAACCTTGACAACAACTCAGAGTTCAGACCAGGAGGCAGAGCTGCAGTCTTACACACTTCTCTGCGCCTCCCTTAGATCTGTCTCCCAGTCACTATAGCTGTAACTGTAAATCTAAATATAATTATACTATAGGTACTGTGTCTGTCCCCTGGTCCAGATCCGTTTTTATAAGTCATCCAAACGTAGAAAAAAAGGCGTAAATCGTCAAAATCTCATTAGAATCAAAACTACGAATACGATTTTGCAAAAAAATCAGACAATTCACTGCAGACTTTTGAACATTAGGTCCTTAGCATCCAAATCTCTTTTAGTGAATGATCTGATATCAGATCAGCATACTGATTTACTTTGTTTGACTGAAACCTGGCTGTATCGAGATGAATATGTTAGTTTAAATGAATCCACTCCTCCCAGTTATTTTAGTACTCATATACCTCGAGACACCGGACGAGCTGGTGGAGTAGCAGCTATTTTTAATTCTAGGCTTCTAGTTAACCCTCGACCAAAGCTGAATTTTTCTTCTTTTGAAAGCCTTGTTCTTAGTCTTTCACATCCAGTCTCAAGAACCTTTCAGCCAGTTCTAGTTGTTGTAGTTTACCGTCCTCCTGGCCCATATTCTGAATTTCAATCTGAATTTGCAGAATTTTTATCAAATGTAGTCCTTAGCAGTGATAGAATAATTGTTGTAGGTGACTTCAATATCCATGTGGATGTTGATAATGATAGTCTTAGGACAGCTTTCATGTCATTATTAGACTCTATTGGTTTCACCCAGGGTGTGAACGAACCTACTCATCGTTTTAACCACACCCTGGATCTTGTTTTAGCTTCTGGCATTGAAATCCAAAACCTTTGTTTTCCTAGAAAATCTTCTTCTATCAGACCATTTTCTTATTACTTTCGACTTTGTCCTACCAGAATTATCTCTGCTTAATAAAAATGTGCTCTCTAGAAGTCCCAGTTGGAAACTCTTACAATAGCTTTAGTCAACTCAGCTGGATCAGTTTGTTGATAGTGCAGTGGATTCGCTGAGAGTTACTCTGGATTCGATTGCTCCCCTAAAACAGAAGGTTATCATATACAGTACATCATATTACTGCATGTATCTATCTGTAAATCTCAGTCACTAACCACCTCTTATCCCTGTCCAAGCCTGGCGCAGTCTAGGCCTGTGAAGGCTGTTTCGTCATGAGCCGGGGAACCGTTAAAAGACAAAGAGTAAGGTCTTTTACCTGCTTTTTGTAAAGTGTCTCGAGATAACACTTGTTATGAGTTGACGCTATACAAATAAAAATTGATTGATTGATGATGTGTTGTATAACGACATTATGTACAAGTGGTAACCGAGCTCAGGCCCGGATAGTCCTGGAGCAGTATGAGTGCAGGCCAGCGAGAGAATGGGAGGGGGGCAGTGTGAGTGCGCCCCAAATCCTAGCTGGACTTCTCTTTTGGCCCTGACCTGGATTTTTAATGACACAATATCTGCCTCATGTTAATGTGTTGTGTGTGTGTGTGGTATTGTGGTGTGAGTGAGTTCACTGGTTCATGGGAATGGGGTGAAGAAATGACAAGACGTATCTGTTCCCTTTTTTTTAACTTCCTCGTTTGTTTCCATGAAGGAATCTTATTCAGAAATTCAAATTCTCAAAGTTTAAAACTCACCGAGGAGAAGTTGTGGAAATTGAACATAAGCATTTTTAGATCATGGTCATACCATGTAAATTACATGCAATGTGAAGCTACGAGCTAACTAAAGAGCGCAGACTCAGAGGGCAGAACAAACACCTAGCTGTGGGAGTGTCACCGACCTGAGGGAGGGGCTACTGCCCTTTGTGATGTCATGAAGGGAAAATCTCCAAACGGCCTGTTTGAGCACACATTTTCTGAAAAGTGGAGCAGGTGAAAGACGGAGAGGATGGACTTTTCTCATCATTGGGGGGTTTGTAGACAGACTAGAGACACATATTAGAGTTAGAGGAACATGGTACAGACATGGCTTCAGTGTTTAGTCAGCTCTGCATTGGTCTGCAATTTTTTCTGCATTACAACCTCTCTCCATTTTTCAAAAGAATGCAGTGCAGTTCTGCTTATTGGGCATAAAATTGTCTAGTGTAGTCAGATTTAAGGAGTACATGATGTCATAGTGTCGTATTAAAGTAAAAGCAGATGTTACTTTCACTTCCTCATCATGAATCTCTGAAACTGTCCAGCCGTGAATTTTGTGAACAAACTTTTAGAAAAAACTCTTTCACTTAATTAGTCGACTTATTGTTCCTGCTTTCATGGTTTAATGTGAAAACAGAGAGAAATGAAACCGCAGTTTCCTGTTTTTAAGGTTTAAGGATCCTGTCTTCCCTTTCCAATCATCCTCCGTCTAGAACTTACTATACGCACGGTGTCATACCTACACTCCTCTTCATGTAAGAAGAAGTGAAAACGTTATTTTATTTGAATTAAACTTTTATTTTGAATCTTTAAGTCTCCGCCTGTTGGATCAGGGAAACATCGTGTGACCTGCTCAGAAACGATGCCATCACTTTTCACAAGAAAAGTGTTTTAAAAAACTTGTGTTCATGTGAAGACGAACTCGGAGAAGTTGAAGATCACAAAGTGAGTCAGCAGATAGGATACCGAGAAGGGAGCGAGAAGTGAAAACAGGAAGGACACAGTCACAGCGTTACAGACGTCACTTTCACAGAAACTCTGCATGACGTTTTTTTTTACACATTTAGATTCTGGTTCATCTTAAATGATTACCTTTTAATTATTTTATGGGGCTGCACGGTGCTGCAGTGGTTAGCGTTGTTTCCTTACAGCGAGGAGGTTCCTGGTTTGAATCCCCGTCTGACAGGAGCCTCTCTGTGTGGAGTCTGCATGTTCTCCCAATCCATTTGATCTGCAGAGTCCCTTTGCACCTTTAACAAAAAGTGCTCTGCCTCTGGTCATAGGGTTGCCACCTTCCAAGCAGAAAAATAAGGGACACCCCGCAGCGGGGTGCAACTCAGTAGGGGCCTGACCACCACTGGCCCAACGGTGGGTTGGGGCACCAGTTGTGGTGAATCATGGTTTAAAATGTGGTTTTAATGAAGTAATAAGAGTCATACTTAAAGTGCTTTATTAACACTTTTTTTTCTGAAATAATTTACAAAAACACAACCCTAACCCCTAACAGGACTTCAGCAGATGCTTACTACTAGCTAGGCCTATCTAATTTCCAACTTAACTTAAACTTCAAATAAAGTTATTAACTTAACATAAATTCATTAACAGAGTATTATTGAAGTGCTTTTGACACTGCTGTAACATAGAGGGGAGGAGGACAGATTTTTAATTAAATAAACAGTAAGAATTGAATAGTATTTTCATTCATTCATTTATTCTGTCTTTCGTTTTTGTTGTTTTCTCATGAAATCATGAATGATACTATTAATATGGCTTTGAACTATTTTCTTATTGTATTAATTAAGTGTCTACTGTCGATATATTGATGTTGTATTGATGATATCTCGCCCAGGCCATACTGTGAATACAGATTAGGCTAAAATAAATGTCATCTTTTTGTTTTATGTACCAAAAAATATTCACACTATCCAAACTATACTGGAATCTATATCTATAAACATGGGAGAAAATATATGAAGCAGGCCTACAATAGTTTCCTTTACATTATATTCATTTTCACCGACACTGTCAAGCCAGGCATTACTTTCTACTCACATCTGTATTTCTGCATCTGTTTACATTTCTATGGTGCACGGTGCAGGAATCAGAGGCAGACATGTTTCCTTCTGACTCCTATGACTTTGTCTCACCCAATCACTAACGAGCTCTCTCATTGCTCATGCCAAAAAAGAACTAAACAAACCAACGGACGCTCTGAGGAGGCGTGAACTAGCCGGCTGAATGATGCTGAGTTCAAGGAATCTTGGAAATATGGGACAAACCGCGTCCCGTATTGATTCAAAACAGGACGCAATATCAAAGTGAAAAATATGGGACGATTCCGTATTTTACGGGACGGGTGGCAACCTTATCTGGTCACTTCCTGTCAGCACCTGTGCTCTGCCTCTGATCACTTCCTGTCAGCACCTGTGCTCCGCCTCTGATCACTTCCTGTCAGCACCTGTGCTCCGCCTCTGATCACTTCCTGTCAGCACCTGTGCTCCGCCTCTGATCACTTCCTGTCTGCACCTGTGCTCTGCCTGATTGGACTTACAGCTGACTTAAACCCAAATGGTGCGTTCCAGTTACCTCACAACTCTTGGACTCGGAGCTGGGAATGTCGTCACATCCCAGTCAACCGCGTTCCGGTTGCAAGTTGGAAGCGCAACATGGACGCCTCCTGGAGTACCTCCGTTTCATTTTGTGAGCTAATACCTGGTGGTGGCACGAACTACCAAACTCCATTCGATCTACAGAGTCCCTTTGCACCTTTAAGAGAAAGCTAAAGACCCAGCTTTGTATTTATTCTACAAAGTGAATTAATGTTGTTGCAAGAATTCCAAACTGACCCTCACTACATCGTACATATCAGACCTTTAGTTTCTCCAGAAGAGAAACGATCATCACCGCTGACGTCTTGAAGTTCGAGGACTTCCTGAAACTTTTTCAGACTGATACAAACACGACGTTTCTTCAATTAAGTGTTTTGATATCTGGATGAAAAAACAACGAGAGGCGTCTTGGGTTTTCATTTTTTTTATTGGTTAGGTCTTCCTATTCGATTCAAACGTTTAAATTAAAAGAAGTGTTTAAGAGGAGAGCAGAACTAAAAGAAAAAAAGTCTTCAAGCCTTCATTTAAAAATGTGAAAAACAAACTAAATCAAATCAAAGTTCCTCCTAAAAACACTCCAATCACGACAACACACACACACACACAACAACGTAAATGTCACACACTATACACAACTCAAGCTATCAATCTTTAATCTGGGCCACAACAAACACGCCGCTGTGATCGCCGTGTTCATCCTGCCGACTGCTGCTGCTGCGGGTCGCGCATGTCACTGAATATCTGTGGGGTTTCCTGCCGGTTCTCCAGGGGCTGTGATTAGATGTGGGTGGGTGTCAGAGTGGTCGTCGTCATGGCTCCTCGTTTAAAAACCAAAGGTGTTCTCCCCGCTGTACGCCACGTATAAAAAGCCGTCCTCGTCCTTCTCCTTGTCGTAGAGCTGGCCCATCGTGATGCTGCAACACGAGCAGAGACACAGTGACCACATCATCCGTCACATCCATTTAACATCTACAGCTAGCGTCAATGCTAACAAGTTAATGAGAAGCAAAGCCTGACAAAGATGTCGACTGAAACGATCACAAACTTCTAACAAAGATATTTAAGTTTCACATTCAGAGATAATCAACCCTGGAGGTTTTCTTTGTTCATGTTTGTTTGTTCTCCAGCTCTGAAAAATAAAGAAGCGATGACAGAAAATAAAACTAAAGAGACGCCGAGGAGAAACGTGTTTTAAAGAGTAAACAGGTTCAGAGAATCGCTCCCCGGACGCCGCCTGGGTCGGTATAAAGGGTTATGAAGCAGTCGATGGCCTGGATTCAAAGTTAAGAATCGGGTCACTTCGTTCAGCGTCTTTAATGCTGCCGTGACTTTGGCCCCGTTTACATGACCATGATTTCCGCCAAACTGTTTTGAAGACAGACGCATTCCCGCAGAACTGATATCACGCCGTCCCTCTGACGACGGTGCCTTTAATAATAATAATAATAATAATAAATAATAATAAATAATATTAATTAGTAGCAACGGCAGACTCCAGAGTTCTGCTCGTTTCCTCTAAATGTTCTCTCCTTTTCCGAGGATCAATCCTGTGTTAACGTGGCGTTCAAATTCAAACTTCAACCTCTCAGGAGTCACTTGAACTCGGGGGTCCTGCTGTTAGCATATGTTAGCTTAGAAGGAGAAAACAAACAACGCTCAAACGCTCTGCAGTGATTTACAGTTCTCCGACTCGGAAAGGAAGTCATGTGGACTTAATAATGAGGACATTAATTAGATAAATATATTTTTAGGGGTCGTCAGCATTAACGTGTAAGGTCGGAAATTAATGCAGTAACTGTTTTTAATCATGGTTAATCTCACCCTATCTGGGGGGCGAGGCCTGATTATCAGCTTGTCCATACGATTATTTTACTGCTCCTGATCGAGTTGCAGGCAGCCCGACATGGAACCCTGATTTTTATGATCCGAGGTCGGGCTTCCTCTGACGGTTTACCCGCAGCAGCCAATGAGAGCGAGCAGACCGGGAAGAGCTCCAGCTCGCGGTGCACGTTGTCTAAAGCCGTGGCTAAACGTTTTGGTGTCACACAGCCGGACAGCTAGCTGACGACGTCGTACGTATTTCATATTTGTTTATCTTCTGAAGTCACGTTTGATCTCTTTCTGTGAACTTTAAACAGCAGGTGTGTGGGCTGAATCGTCCGGTGTGTGCGTTCTGTCGTTTATAAAGTTAAACATCGACTGAAACTGTCCTCGTGTCTGTGGTCTCCATGTTTTCAAAATGGAGATTAGAGGATCGTCTCGTGTGACGCTGGCTTCAGCTACGCCCCCTGCTGGAACTCTTTAAGCCGAGCTCTCTGAGAGGATTGTGTGTGACTACAGGCCCTGCAGTTTGTTTTTAAAAGCTCAGTATTTTTAAAACTCATGTAGAGAACAGAGAATGTACGGGGGCGGGTCCTGACCTGGACTGAGGCACGGTCTTGTCCACAAACAGGAAGATGGCCTTCTCCGACGGCAGCTGGATGCGTTTTCTGATGATCCACATGAACTGAGCCACCGTGATGTCAGAGGGGACCAGGTACTTCCTCTTATCGATGTCTGTGATCTGTGATCCCGACACCTTCTCAACTATCACCTGAAACACACACACACACACAATTAGACACAATAACTCCCACTAGAACAACGAATCATCCTCAAAAGGACAGAGCAACATTCCTATGATATTGTAGTTCTCTTGTGATCTAGTAGTTCTTCTTAGATCTTTTCCAAGTGGTTGCCCGTGTTCAAATCCGACCTGTGGCTTCTTCCCTGCATGTCGTCCCCCACCCCCTCTCGCCCTGATTTCTGACTCTATTCACTTTAATTTCTACATAACAAAAGACACACAAAACAAAAGGAAACTCACCGGGACCCTGTCAGGGTACTTGTTGCGGATTTTGGCGGACTCTATGCATCGATGTTCTGGAAAGACAAAAAAAAAGCGACATTAGAGATAACATTCACGTTTTACGAAAATAAAATGCACAGGTCTTACTTTCTGTTTAGCACAAAACCCGAAGGGTCAAAGGTCACGGACACACAGATCGGTGTCAGGGGATTCACAAACGGCTGAACTACAACGACCAACTGTAAACGCTTCAGAACCAAAACCACAACAACGTTTGATTTAAACGAGACCAATGATCAAAAAATAAATAAACTATCAAAACACTGGGTGTTTAGGACTAGAGACCCTACGGTGGCTGAGAAGTGCCAAACACAGATATCTGTGATTTTATCTCTCAGGAGGATTAACAGCTTAATGTGTCGACATCCTCCATCAGCACAAAGTTTATGACTGTGTCTGAACAAAGACACGATGATCTGTCGATGTGCACGAGCACACGTCTGCTTCAACATGCAGACAGACTGTGTGATATTTAAATCAGCTGACTTTCACATCTAAAGGGTTTAATTTGTACGTTTGTGTCGACGCAGCTTGCAGCTAACGTGAGGCCCGTTTGTGAGCTACACGGACATTTTAGAGATTTTATCCCGAGTGTAACCTTCATATATATTCACCTGTGACACAAAAACAAACATGACACTTCAGAAATTAAACTGCGTAGACATGTTTTGACCCCCTGCCACCATAACAACACCCCCTCCTCTTACCCAACGAGTGATCCTCTTTGAACATCCATTTCATGTTTGCCGTCTCCGGGCTCTTCCCGCTCGATGTAGCAGCTTATTAACGCGGTTTACAGTGTGTCGACGTGTTTACCGTGAGCTGTGCTTTTTAAACGTAAGCGTTAAATTAAAGAAACGACGCGACGGCTCAAACTCTCGATCAAAACAACAAACAACAACCTCCTCTTCACTATCAGCCCTCTGAGCACGGCCCCGCCGATGACGTCAGACGCGGACTGTTCCATTCCGCCGCAGAGAGGAGGGGTGGGCGACTTAAAGAAAGAGGACGAGCTTTCCTTTTATACCGACGTTATGAGCATGAAATTAATTTACTGTCTCTGCGCTGAGGCAGTTTGATGTTTTTTTGTTTCATTTTTAACTTTTGGTGATAAATCCGTTAATTTTGATTCGCTACATTTTGACATCCTCCCCTTCGCTCTTCCATAGTGCTGCACTCCCAATGAGGAACATAAGAACCATAAACTGCTCTGTATATCTCATACTTCTGCTGATTGTTTTCATTATACACAAGGAAATGATTTTTATTCAATAATTTAACTTTTTAACTGATAGATTAAAAGTTTGATTCTTGTTAAACAGTCACCACCTTTAATTTCTACAAATAGACTTATCCATTAACCTTTACTTTGCATGACATATGACATAATCAAGTCGTGTGCATAAGTTAACAAAACACAGAGGTATAAAGGTAAACATACACACAGAGGAGAAGTCTGCTTGGTGATTCAGGGCCTGCCTGAAGTCAGACTATAACAGATCCATGCCAGCAGGTGGCGGTGTAGAGCCCTGATCCACAACGTTTTCACTGGGCTTTGAGTATTTTGGAGGCCGGCAAAGGTCTGTTTGACTTCTCCAGGCCAAATATTCTGATAGAAACAGTTGAGATCAACTCTGCTGTCAGGAAGGACATGCAGAGAACTCAAAGTTAACCCCTGAAGGTGGAGCAGACAAATGCACAGGAAGTGTAAAAGGGGAAATGGCTGCTCTAGGGAGGGGGGAAATTAGCAATAACTACCCAGGGCCATCTATTAGAGTTAAATGTCTTGATTTTTATTGCAAAAAAATGCAGGCAAACTCTGCCAGCGTTCAAAATGTGTGGTACGTAAAAGTACTGAAGGAGTAAATGACAACCTGAAAGCATCAATCAGTAAGATGTGTAGTGAGTGTGTACAAAAGGCAGTCTGAGCGCAGAGGAAAGGAGAGTGAAGCGAGGCTGTGTGCACGGACTAATTAACAGCTCTCTACAATGTTTATAATTTGGACTGAAGTACCCATTTTCAACATTAGGGTCAGAGTTACATATTCTAAATCTTTGAATGGGTCGTTAGTGTCATGGAGTTGTGCAGCAGGCAGAGGGAGGAGGGAGACGAGAGGAGCAGAGAGGGAGAGAAACAGGGCAGCAGGTAAAGTTTTTAAAACTGTTTTATTTAGTTTCAGTAAACATAAATTATATTTCAGTATAAAAGCGAGCAGGTTTACAGGCACATGAGGGATGGGACGGTCCTACTTCCTGCAGTCTGCATTGGCACTACTTTCTACGGTGGACTGAGCGGTGATCTGGTTGTCGGGGGGCAGCGGTTTACCCAGGTGGTGTCCCGTGGTGAGGCCGTATGGCTGTGACTCTCTCTCTCCCTCACCTTCGGCCACAACATGAACCCCCTGAAAGCTGAGGTCAAAGAGCTCACAGGGGGCGAAGGTCAAAGGCTTCTCTTCCAGCAAGCCTTTCAGCCGCGCTTGCCACCCGTCCAACATGGCGGTTCGCGCGACAGGAGGGCAGTGAGCCGGACTCCAGAAGATCTGAGGAGCCAGAACCTGAAAGCCGCAGAAATGCAGCGTCCCGTTCTGACAGGGGGAAAAAAGAGACAAAAAAATTTAGAAAACAAGGATGACTTCCCTTTAAATCGTTATCTTTAATTCTCAGTCACGTCGTCATATTTAGGCGTGCTGGTTTTATCCACGTATTCTGTTGCTGACCTGCAGCGGCCACAGAATGACGTTGATGTCTCCGTTGATGCGTCGGGTCTGAACATCGTCTGCGTGGCTCCCGTAGTGAAAGACAACATTGCTTTCTTATCTTCAATGAGACAGAAAATAAAGCGTTTTTTCATCAGTATGAGGAGACATATCGTGAAGACGAGAGAGAGAGAGAAAGTTAACAAGAGAGTGATCAAGAGTTCATATCAGATAGATTTTTCATTATTAGTGATTTAACTGCGGTTAAAGGCATGCTGTGCAACATTTTAAATATGATACCAAATATATTCCAACTATAAAAATCAGTGAGTAATGACTTCCTAAAGAGAGTGAAGTCAGACTTCCTCTGGGTTTGTTGTTCTCAGCTCTGTGTTCACATCACAGACTGTAAATATGAACTTTGAAGGCTGAGTGATGTCACCCGTCTGTTCCTGCAGGGGGCGCTGGAGTCCCATCGATGGCGGTCTCCATGCTGGAAATGCTGTCTCAGCCTAACTTTCAGTCAACCTAACAACAGGCTGAGAGCTGGAGCTGAGGCGGGTTTTAAACCTCCTGACAAACCGTTACACCGCGCCCACCTGTCAACCAGGTCAGCTACACGCCTTATTGTGAATAACTCTTACCTTCATCAAATTAAAACTGATGAGTCATCAAAACATTCACCTCCCGTACAGTGTGTGTCAATCGAGACATGAGCTAATCAGACCTATTTGCTTTTTTAACCAGGCTGTAAACATGTTCATCTCTGCTGTAAAAACAGGCCTTTTAGAATGGGTGTGTATGTGACTTCCTGTGCTTCTGCAGCCAGCCTCTAGTGGACACTCGAGGAACTGCAGGATTTTGAACCGCTTCATTTTTCAACACTGAGGTTGAAGCTTGGTTCACACTGACAGGACGGCACTTTCCTTCTTCACTTCCTGTTTCGCTCAGAGGCTCAAACATGTGTCAGACATATTTTTGTTAAAAAACTGTGATCCTCTCCTCTCTAACTGTTACCCTGACACCACCTGGGGATGGCCCGCCCCTTCTGGGACCTGTCAGTAGAGGTGTATAGTGGAATTTGA